AACTTTTTTCTAAATGCAATGTTGAAGCCTGAACCAGAGTGCACACAGCTGGAGGAAAGCGCGCACACAGCGCGACAGCTGGAGGAAAGCGCGCACACAGCGCGACAGCTGGAGGAAAGCGCGCACACAGCGCAACAGCTGTAACAGATCCGCTGGGAGACTAGTCAGTGGGACTTGTTTTCACTAGCTACGATTCAGCCGTCCACCATTATTGTGTTAGGAATGTAAAACTGCTTATTCATGATCCTAAACTAATATTCACCATATAAAGATGGACAGCCAAGATTAATGGCAATAGTCACCCCCACCTTTATTTTCCAAAATAATACAAATAGAGACTAGCATCCAGTTACAAAAATCCATTTTATTCCAAATCATAAATATTCACAAAAAAGAGAAAAGAAAAATATAGGGAAAGGAAATAATTTCAGAATTACAGCACAAACAGAAAACAAATCAATAAATATAATCCCAGATTTGAAGTGAACATTTAAGATATGAATGAAAAACAGATTTCTCTGAAAGTCCTTGAGATTCCTCGTGGAATATCTAACAGATTGATACTGAGAGATAAGACGTTTTAAAATAAATTAAAATACAGTTTTTTTACAGGGGGATTGCCTGAGTTGGCTGTATGGTGAGCCATGTACTCACTTTGCAGTGGCTATCAAGCAAAACACAGAGGGGGGGGGACAAAAAACTAATTAAAATAAATAAAAAAATTCTCACTGCTACAGTATTAAATCTGAAAACTCTTAGGGGGTTTTATTAATCAAACACTGAGCTCCGGAGAGGCGGTAACCATGTGCAAAATGTATGCTGAACGTTGTAAAGTGCCATTTTTATTTATATTGGCACTTGTTTTGTGAATTCACTATGAATTGACCAGAATTCACGGTTTGGTAAATGAAGTTTTATACAGAGTTAATTTTCTTTTTTGGCAAAGGAGAAGATAACTTTTGAAGTGTCACATAAAGCAAGCGATTTAATGCATTTCAGTTACACCCATGGCACTGTTCTGGGATTTGTGAATTTTAGGTTGGAACAAAGGCAAGCTGAAGAGTTTTTAGAAACCAGGTTAACAAACCCTCAGCTTATTTTCTCCCAAAACCTGCAAATCCCTGGTTATTCCAACGTTGTTGCCATTTAGTGAATACCCCAATAGTTTCAAACAGATTTAAAAAAAAAAAAAAAAATTTCAATAAATAGCCTGAATCAGGACAGTTTACAAGTTCAGGTAACAAAAACTGAACATTTAAGGTGGATTCAAAATTGTAATCTTAAATTTTTTTATTTTAAAAAAATATAGAAATTTCATATATTTCTTTATGTACAATGTATGTGGGGCAAACTGCCCCAATGGCTTCCATTATTAATACAATATTATTCAGAGGAGAAATATTCCTTAGGAAGATTTTATTTTTTGAAGTGATTTTATATAAAACCAATCTTTACTGCCATGGGAGGCCCTGATTTTCAGTATTCTACTGGAAACGAGATGCTACAACAATGCCTAGACCATAAACATCTTTGAAAGCAAAACTACTTAATACTAATAGGCAGTTTCCCAAATTAATTTTCCTACATGACTTGCTCTCGTCAGGTTGAGAAAATATCTTCGCCGAGATAACAGTTCACCTGCTCAAAATAAATTAATGAGAAGCACATTTATACACACAAATAGTGTCTTGTTGCAAGATACTTCATATGTCCTGAGAGACTGTGCAGGGGGTATTAGCAGTTCTGGGAACCTACAAGAACATCCATGAGATAATCCAACTCACTAAGTTCTAGCATAGCACCATGTTCATCTGCTAAAGAAGTGTCCTCTGAATTATCAACATTAGAAAATGCCTTAAAGTTTAAGAGGTTTGTACTTGACCAAGGGTCGCTATCATACATGGAAGTGTCAATGTCTTCAAAGATGTCCTCCAAGTTGTCCCCAAGCAGGTACGTAGAAGAACTGAGGAAGTTAGATGAAGGTATCAGTTTCCCAGAATCTTCTCGG